AAGCAAACATAAGTTATCGAGATGCCGTAATATTAACTGTGAAGTTTGTTGTTGGATGGAGGGAGTATAATGTTAAAAATTAAATAAAAAATTCTACTCCCTCCGTCCCCTTGTATTTGTCCACATTTGACTTTTGAACTGTTCATCTAAGCACTTTGACTCATCAAATTTTCTCAATGTGTAAGCCTAAATATAGTCATGTGTGATCTTGTTTGATTTGTCTTAACATATAGATTATTAATATATAATTTTTATAATTTTTTAATATACAAATTACAAGATAAAATGGATTAAAGAAGTGTATTGGATGGTGTGCAAAAATGAAAGTGGACAAATATAGGGGGACGGATGGAGTAAAAAAAATGTGACAAAAATATTTTATTTTATCAATTTATCAATGCAAACATGTAAACAAACAAAAGCTATTCAGAAAACATAATAGTAAAGATGTAAACCATTTTTAGAAAGTGAGAGTACATATGACTAACACAAGGGTCGGTTCGAAAATGAGAAAAACTGTGTGCAATAAATTTGGGAGCCATATGTGGGTGCACGCCAATTGAGTCGCCCCTTAGTAACATATGGAGTATCTTTTGAGACCTCAGATCAAACTCAATATCCGCTCTCAGAATCACCAAAATTACCCGTGCAGATCGAGGCTGTCCTGAAGGTGTGCAAAGTGTACACCCGCACATAACCCTCCAAATTTATAGGGCCCAATTTTTTTTTATATTTTTAACTTTAAGTTTTTAATGTAAAAATATGACGTGTAAATTTTAATAAAGAAAATGTTATAAAAGTGATCATAGAAATCAAATTTAGCATTAATTTTAAAATAAAACAAAATGGAAAACATCCCATTTTCCTTCTTAGTTTTTTTCTTCTTATTTTCTTTTTTTTCCACTTTTTTTCCTCTAATCTAACATAAAATATAGTTTATCTCGTCTTTTTTCCTGTATCCAATTTTTTTGAACCAAACATAACATTAATTTTCGATTCACCGTCATTCTATCAAACCTCTTTTGAGGAATATAAACGTGAGAGATTATAGGATAAATAGACACCTAGACAAAAGCAGCTTAAGACATGATACAAGTGGTTTACTTTTAATTTGTGTTTTACTTTCCGGATGTCGCCGCGCCGTCAGCTTTCAGCCATTGCAAATAATAAAGCCTTGTTTGGTGAAAGTGATTAGGATTGAGAGGAACTTTTACTCCCTTTTGTCTTGTTTAACTTTTTACTGCAAAATTCGTTGCATTTAAATTGTTAATTAAATAAAAATGAAAAAAGTCTAAGGTATTTCCCAATAATTGCTATCAGAGATACACTCATGCTTCCACAAATGATTATCATCTTTGTCGCACAAATGATTATCATCTGTGTCTCACAAATGATTATCATCTGTGTCATCTGTGCGAAGAATGAGCGCACTCTTGGTAGCAACGATTTCGAAGCACCCTAACATGACCCAATAAAAGTTACTCATGTAGATTCTATTGACCAAAACAAAACAATTTTTACACAACAAATCTCTTTAATTAAATCTTGTTGTACGAGTGTAATACTTGTACAAGTTTGTTTAACTAATGATCAACATTTATAAAATCTGACTACAAAAAATCAAATGAGACGAACACATACATTATGTTTGATTCAAGGAATTTGGAAGGAAAAGAAAAGAAAATAATTTCCACACTCTAAAATGGAAGGAATTTGGTTACGTTTTCTCTCCTCTTCGTGCATTTTGTCTTCTTATTTTCTTTTCTTTCCACTTTTCTTTCCTTTTCCTCTCTAACCAAACAAGAAAAATTTCTTCTCGTTTTCTTTTTTCTTTCCTTCTCAAATTTCTAGAACCAAACATAGTAATAGAGACGAATATAGTATTTCCGTTCAAGTCAATTAGTTCAAATTATTACTACTACACAGTACACAAATTTCTTTTCCAAATATACTTAGTACTTACGACTTACGAGTAATTTTTTATTTTTTGTCACAAACAAGTTGTGACTATAATGTTTTTTTTTTTAAATTTTGATGGATGGGAGATGCGCATATTCTTTCATTTCATATGCTAGATCGAGGAGCTAGTAGGTAGGAGGTAGTTAGCTAATGAGTGTAGATGTAGGAAAAGGGGGTTGGGGTTGGGGGGGGGAGGGGGGGGGGGACGTTGAATATGAGTCTTAAGTAATGAATGGTCGGTTGAGAATGGCTCTTACGTACCTAATGAAAATAACAAAGTGCTTTGTCATGCACTTTTGTTAGCTGAATAATGTATGTATGTGGTCGAGCTAGTGCTTGCTAGCTGGCTGGCTGGCTACATGCGCCCTAATTCTTGTTCCAATGTTTTATTTGACTGTGGATTTTACTATTAACATCAATGGATTTTATTTTTATATTTTACTGCGCACCATTGTTATTATTGTTATTATCATTATCATTATTGTCAAAGAACCAACTTAATCATAAGATTAAGTTCGTAGTAGGTGCAGGCAGTCGTGCATGCCTACTTTTTTCAAACCTTGCATATGAAAGATTAATTTTTTTAAAATTGGGTGACGCTGATGAGTTTCAAACTTGTGAGATCGTAATCAACTATGCTCCGGTATCATGTCTCCCATTCTCACTTCTCCTTCGCGTAGTCCCCTAGCAGCCCCGACCGTCGTCGTCGTCAGCGACCCTCTGCTTTCATCACCGCCACCTCCCTTCCTCCATCGCCTTTCCCCTTTGTTGTCCTGCCTTTTCCATTTGCATCTCTTTTTGGTTTATTCGTTTCAATTGGTATCTAAATTTGCTTCTAAATTATTGGTTGTTTAGTTTCGATTTCTTTACTTCTTAAGAAATGATTTTGTAAAATTGATCTGAATTTGCTTCTTCTAGCTAGATGTGCTCTTCCTATTGTTTTAAGCTTTTTTTGTCACCTGGTCGCCATAAAAGTGGATGTGAAATGCGTGATGGTCGTCTTGTAGTTGTGCAAAGCATTGGGTCAGGTTTTAGCATTATGCCTTTTTTTGACACTGTGAATTGACATCTATGACATTACATATGGACATTTGTGCTGATATGCATTGCTATGTGCGATCTTTCTTTGTTACTATATTAATTGTTGATTTTGTTGGCCGTGATGGTGAAAAATCAACAGGTGGGTCATGTGTTTTTATGGCAGCACGATGGGCGGAGGAGAGCACTGCAGGGACAAAGATTGAAGTTATTGCGGCAGGGACTTGGAAGTGGGTGAGACGTGGTGACGGCAGGGGGTGGCGGGCTGCTGCGATGGAGTGCTGATATCATATCTTATCAATATCTAATATCATTTTTAATTAATTTAAGGTCAAAATTAACAATTTTGTTGAAAATTTAAAGTTGGCAAATATTCATGAATGGAGAGAGTATTACTTTTCATAAACTTTGTTTCAAACCAAATCAGAAGCCTTTCTTTGAGACAACATGAATATATTAATAATAAAAGTATTAAAATAAAAGAAATACTCCATATTACCTAGTATTTAAGTTTAAAAAATCAAATTAAAGAAGTTTAAAACATATTCCCCCGTCCCTGAAAATTTTTCTTCTTTCTGTTTTCATCCATTCTAAAAAAATTCTCATTTCATTTAAAAAGCTATTTTTACTTCTACTAGTTCTTAACCTACATATGACATATTCTCATCTATTCACTATTAATCTACATATCAAATGCTACTTGTTATCCGCCACATCCAATGACATTTTTGGAAACTCAGCATTAAAAAACCCTTTTTCTAATTCTAAATGTCTTAAACATTGTAATCTCCCATGTTTTTGGGGACGGATAGAGTATATTTGTACGCATGGATGTTTCTAAATAATTTATGCCTAGTGGATTGGATATTAAAATAAAACAAAAGAAAATCTCACAATTCCAACAAACGTAAGCTCACCAGCCCAGCGGCCCCAGCCCATTGAACAAGAATAGCCTGCCCAATGTGTGTCCGGAATTGAAATACACCATCCATCCGAAAAAGAATTTTTTACTCGTTTTCGGCTTCTCGATAATTTTTGGCTTCTTGATAATTTTTGTTTGTTTACTCGTTTTCAGTGATTATTTGGTAAAATCAAATATCAATTAAATAAAAATTATATTGCATATTAGAAAAATTGTTTGTTCAATTAATCTTGGAATTTTCAAAAGGCTATTGTATTTAGCAATATGCAATGCAATTTTTATGTAATTGATGATTAAAATTCATCTTGAATAAAAAAAATCAAACAAAAAAGAATACTCCAGATCATATATTACAAAATTATATTTTTTAGGAATTGATTTTTTAATAAATACAGTCTCTCTGAGTTGATAAAATTAGTCTTTATGATTTGATACAACTAAAAGAATTATAAACCAAAGGAATTTTAATTGATCTGTTAGAAACATTAGAATGATACGTATTTTTAAACATTAGTGAAAAAAGGAGACATTCTTTTTACAAAAGAAGTGTCATTTGTTAAACTTTTTATTTTGTTTTAACCGGCTCTAACCTGTTAAAAAAGATGTGAGTGACAATTCTGGCAGTTAATAAAAAGTTGCATTACAGAAACAAAATAGAAAGTGACATTGACAATAAATAAATAAATAAATCACTGACATTTTTTTCACTGCACTATGTACTTTAGAATGCACATAAAAACTGAAATTGCATGATTAAACTTATAATTTCCATTCCTCTATGGAGCCAAAGATTCACTATTTTTAAGCTTTGTGATATGATGAAATAAAGTAAATTGACTTTTTAAACTCTGTTTGCGCTCCTTGCAAATGTGAAGTAACAATTAGTCAATGCAACTTTCGACGCTCATCATGAGTCATTTGGAAATAGATGCTCTATGTTTTAAACATAGAGGTTAGACTGCGTAGATCTAACCCCCCTACCCTGCAATGGGTGGGAGCCATTGAAGCAATGGGGTAATGTTGTTGTTTTGTTGTTGCATGATTAAACTCATACATGCAATCTGCACTTAAGGATGCACATAAAAACTCGTTAAATTCATTCATGGCAAAGGGAAGTTCAAGAATCAGATACAAGGACTCAAAACAAACTAACTCAACATACATTACATATGTATATGTTCTTATTAAGATAGATCAAGAAACTCACACTTTATGTACAAAAAGAAAACTATAAGTTACATGCATGCAAATCTATATATATAATATATTACAGCTCCAACTGCAAACAGCTTATTGAGATTTGGAAAAAGACATCAACAACAATAATACACTCACTTTGATTAAGAAAGTAACTGTGATCCATAATGGTCATCTACTGCTGATTCCCCTGCAGAAATTTCTTCTGGATGGTAATGTAGTATCTCCATCCACATCATCTCCCTTATCGTCTCCTCTGCCAAATCCTCGTCTATGTCCAGATTTATGGGGACCTCAGCTGGCAGGTCACAGTTTGGATCATACAATGACGACATGTAAGGGTGTTGAAGTGCCTCGGTGACACTTATTCTCTTTGAGGGATCGAACACGAGCATCTTCTGTAGCAGGTCAATTGCCAGAGGATGCGCGTTGGGGTAAAGTCGTGAAAGTGGTATTTTTGGAGAGTAAGGAAGGGATTTGATGTACTTCTTTGCCTTGAGGTTGTCGATGAACTCAATGTCCTCTTCACTCTGGCTCCCAAGAATGTTGATGATCAGTTTTAGTTGGTTTAGACACTCTGTGCCGGGGAAGATTGGTTTCCTTCCCAGCAACTCAGCAAAGATGCACCCAACAGACCAGACATCGATTGATGTCCCATAATTGTCGCAGCATAGGAGAAGTTCTGGTGCACGATACCAACGCGTCACAACATACTCTGTCATGAACTGGTCCTTGCCACTGCTTGTGCGCGCCAGTCCAAAATCACAGATTTTTAAGTCACAATTCGCATTGATCAGCAGGTTCCCAGGCTTCAAGTCGCGGTGAAGAATATTTGCAGAGTGAAGATACTTGAGGCCTCGAAGCAACTGGATGCAGAGAGAGATACATTAATACATTGAAAAAAACAAAGCTTCTTTATGTCCAAATATGACTTTTTTTAGTTTTTACAAACCTGGAACAAGAAGTATTGGCAGTGGTCTCCTGTGAGTGACTGGGAGGACTTGATAATCTGGTGCAAGTCTGTGTCCATGAGCTCATAAACCAGATAAACATCCTTGAAACTCCTCTTATGAATGGGCAACATGACATCTTTCAAGCCAATCACATTGACATGCTTGAGATGGCGAAGGAGTTTCAGCTCGCGCAAGGTTCTGAGAGCATCGACGCGGTTCTCAAAGGCATTGTTTATCTTCTTGATTGCGACCCTTTCGTTCGTTACCCTGTTTATGGAGGAGCAGACAATTCCGTATGCTCCTCGGCCTATAGGCTTGATTGGCACATACTTTGTATCGATCTCAAACAACGTTTGCCACATAGAGTAGTAATGTTTCCCAGGAGCAAAAACTCCATTGGGAGGATCAACTGGAGTAGCCATTCCCAGATATGCTGCAGACTGTTCAAGTAAATTACTACAAACAGATCAGTTATTCTCTCAAAGCAGGAAGACAAAAAAAAAGTAGAATTGAAAAGATAGAGCATTTAACAGCCATTCAAATTGAGACTGCTCATCTAAAAAAAATCTGGCCAATTAGGAATAAAGGCATTAAAGGGTATTCAGTCAACAAAAAAAGAAGATCAAATTTGAGTTGAAAAAATCACTTTTTCCTTCTAAAACCAATCCAATCCAAACGAGATCTTGGTAAAGAGAATCTTTTACAGGAACACCAAATAACCCACGCCAAAGAATATCTCCAGAAGTCAAATCCAAGATACTTTAGGGCCCGTTTGGATGCAGAATCTGGAAGGAAATGCATTATGGGGAGATAGAAATTGAATTGAGTCGAAATTAGAGATATACTCCGAAGTGATTTTACTCTCAAATTAAAATTATTATTTTCACTCATCTATTGTTATGTGGAGCTATGCATTTAAATTAAAGATAATTTATGACAAAAACGAAGAAAAAAAAAAGAGAGATCAAGAAATCAAGAAGCAGGGAGTAAAGAAAGAGGCCCACCTGAGAAGATCTTCGACTGGGTTTTCCGGAATTCTTCTTCTAGGGTTCAGACCGGATTATGGGTATGAATTGGTCGATCCATATTGGATAGAAATGTTTGGGTATGGAATCTGAGATTCCAAAAGATTCGGCATTCAAGAAACTGATTAGATGGAGTTGATGAGAGAAGATACCCTAAAATGTCTGCAATCGATTGTGCTCCCACAGAGATAGCGATGGGGGGGAGGAGGAAGACGACACCAGAGAGGTGGGGAGGGACAAGGAGAGATAGCAGTGATGAATTTCTCGACCGAGAATCCCAGAGGAAGATGATATGTTTTTTTTTTTCTTTTTTTCGCACCAGAATTGAAAAACATTCTTGGAATTCTTACAATTATGGAATTATTAGGAGTGGGTGATTCTAATTTTCAACAACAAAATTCTAAATTATTTTTTAAACAGCCAAATGATGGTGGACAAGTTCAAATCATTTTAGGTGGATAGGGTGGTGGTGACCCAATGCTTTCTCCTAAGAAGCACTCATATTTTAGGACAATTTTTTTTATATTAAAAAATACTACTTATTGTTGAATTCCAATATTTATCATAATATTGATTTTTTAAAGATATGTTGTGAAAAGATTTATTAAAATAAAACTAAACCGTGAAGTTTATACGAAGTATTAAATAAGTCATTCCATATTTTTATTTTTTAAAATAAAATTGTTTATGTGGAAGTGTCTGTAATTTGATATTGTATGTTGGCTTCTTACAATACTTTTTATTAAATAAATCATTCCATATTTTTATTTTTTAAAATAAAAGTGTTTATAAGGAGTAAAAGTTACTATTATTTAATATTATAAATTTTGTTTTAGTGATATTTAGTGCAAATATTTCTTTTTTATATGTATGAAACAATCTTGATTTGGTTAAATATTTCTCCCTTATTGTGAAGTGTAATAATATTCTGCATTCGGGATTCATGACATACTATCTCAATCTCTTTATATTTGTCTAGTTTCAATTTTTAAAATCAAAAGTGAACATTGAATCTTGATTAATTAAAAATTATATTACTTATTAGTATGAAATTTGTTTAATTAGATTTATTTTGTAGACAATTTTCAAAATTTATTTCATTGAATTAATATAATTTAGTATATTTAATGAGTAAACTGTGTTTACTTTAACTTGAAAAAAATCAAATTGAACGAGACGAATATTATTGAGTGAAAAAAATCTTAGAAGTAAACTTAAGTGGCGAACTACTCTATTGTTAATGCTATAATTTGTTCTTTCTACTATTGTATAGTGTTCTTAACTTAGATTCCACACTATTATATTCATTTTTAATTTATTTTATGTTTATAATTAATCACAACTTTAATTGTTTAATTGAGTTATCCTCTAATATAGTATCAAAATGTTAATCACAACTTCGATTATTACTAGCATCACCATTCAAAATATTACTCCGTATAAATTTTAGTTCGACGAAAGGACACATTTCAAAGTGTTAGACTATACAAACTCTTTTTAAATATAATCTATAATTAGAAATCCATACCTTTGGTTCAATATATATTTGACAATTTTTTATATTGAGTACAATTACACATGCATATGTTTTATATTTATATTTTTTACACTCAGTGGCATAAGTTTGAATCTCATAGACACTACTATTTTAAAAATTAGCATTAAAAATCTTGATATTTGAATTTTTAATTTTTATGACTCGCCTCCTTATATTATTTGCAACATTTTTTAATATCTCTCTAGAAATTTGATTTTCATAATCATGTTGATTTGCATAATAATTGCTAATAATTCAAATTTTGTCAACATTAAGCTTCGAGTCCCCAAACTCTGATACAGATTACAGGCCGGAGTAATTCAAGATGCAGTACAAATGCCCGAAAATAAGCAATAGGAAAAAAGCCCAGACAAAAACTTGGAGCTGCGACAGATAAGACTACAAAATGGTGGGCCAATAGAGAGCCTAAGCCCAAATACACTCACTCACAATGAAACTAAGTTAGAAGAAGAATGGAGTGTTTTTTTATGTGAAATTTGCGCTGAATAGGACTAAAACATAAATCATTTTTTAATGTAGAACTTAAATTTTTTTATTCCCTAAAAAAGACTTAATAATGACTAGTGAGAAGAATAATGTCTAAGTGATGCTGGATAATTAGCTGAATAATGACTAATAGATAATGACCAATGGTCCTACATTGAGAAATAAACGCATATAATCCTATATTGAGAAAGTCATTATGTTTTAGCCTTATTTAGGTAAATTACCCATTTTTTAAATTATTTTTATCACTGTTATGTTTTACGAACAATAAATATTATTTCTGACACAAATTTATTTCACGTGATTTTTTTTCACATGTCCAAAATTGGTTTGTAAATTTTAAAATTTGTCAAATCGTAATTCGGTATTATAAATATTTTCACTTGTTCGAGATGATAAATACAGTACCCACATTCTATAAAAAAATATATTTCTTGAATCGTAAAATTATATTTAATACTAAATTTGAATTTTATGCATTTTAAAATAACATTGCAAATGTTGTGGACTTAAGCTCCACACCATTATAGCCTTATAGGTGTGTCTTTATATGAGTGCGGTAAACAAATGTTTTTTGCTATGATAAGTATCAATATGCAAAAAAACATGCTTATAATGCTACAAAGTATCAAATGGTGTGAAGTGTGAACCTTAGTTCTATAAAAGTACTCAACTAGGAAATATACCGTTTTTAAGAATTTTCAAGTATAGGGTATTTTTTTTGAAACAAAGCATTAAATTAGGGAATCAAAGGAATAAAATTTGGGAAAAGAAAAATTTATACTCCATTTGTTTTAAGATGATTGTCACATTACACAAAATGGAACAAAATTTAAAGTTTTTTGTTTCATTTTATTTGAAGATTAGTATAGAAATAAAGAATAAAATTTATATATTTAAAAATTTCATCAAACTTTTCAAAACAAAATGTAACAAAAATATTTTATTCTATCAAATAATTAATAAAAAAAATATAAATTAACAAAGGTTTATGTAATTTTTTGAATAATAAAGAATGACATTCTTTTATAATCGGAAGGAGTACTATACTATACAAAAAAAAGATGCAAACGCAACCTTTTGCCCATAATCTGATCTCACATCCACCAAACTTTTCATGGAATTTCAACTTTTGTGGGCCAGCTAATCTTGAACCTATTACAATTGGAGGAAAAATAATGACAGCTTACTTGCCCTTTTAGTATCTTTAATTAATTGTTAGCCTCCATGGATAGTATAATTTGTCTAAAAAAGAAGATGTGGAACTAATTGTTAATAAAGAGCATCCCACATCGAAAAACTGTGAGGAAATTAATCGGTATATAAGCTTTTTGAGTTGAACTAATTAATCGATTGGATTCAATCTTTTAATGTGGTTCAACCCAAGTGTCTTATTATCCAACCAAGTTGTCCATATCTCATCCCAAATTCTATCATGGTATCAGAGCAGATTTTGGCCCACCTTGTTTGTCAAGGTATTTGTATAGACGTTCATTCATAACGGCTCGTTTGTCTTTAGGTGTTGGCGCTCAAAAAAAAAGTCAAGGGAATATGAGTTCATTTGCAAGTGGTCAACCGGTTAGATTCAAAATGGCCCGGTTGTCCACTTGAAGGGGAGTGTTAAAGAGCATCCCACATCGAAAAATTGTGAGGAAATTAATCGGTATATAAGCTCTTGAGTTGAACTAACTAATCGATTGGATTCAATCTTTTAATGTGGTTCAACCCAAGTGTCTTATTACCCAACTCATGGCCACTTGTCCATATCTCACTAAATGTCTACCACCATTGGACATTATTCCTACATATAAAAATAAAAAAGTTTATATCTCACTCGACATTATTAAGTCATATTTAGAAAATAAAAAAGTTTAAATCCTACATATAGAAATGACTTATGTTTTAGTCCTATTTAGCGCAAATTTTTCATTTAATCTTATTAATAGTTCGACTTTGCCATATTCTCTACAATTTTTTTTTATACTCGATCTGCAACTTTTTTACTACGTATTTCACTCACTAGTTTTCGGTTAAAATCTTATACTCCGTATAAATCATGGTGATTATGTTTTAGATTTTACTTATCAATTTTAATAATTTAGTTATCAATTTAATATGGAGTATATAGGTTTTAGACTTTAGTTATCAAATTTCAAAAATGGTAAAGAGGCTCCGACCTTGTGCTTAATTTGTACTCGGTAATTAATCTTTTCTTGTTTTCGCCGGTTTCCCATAATGCTTTATGATGCCAATAATAAACAAAAACTAAAAGAAATGACAAATCGAATGATTTAAAATCCACTCATGAGTCACATAATATTTTTAGAATAAAGAACAACGTTGACAAGTTATACGATGGTTTAGGTAGTTAATAATCCTCCTATACTACTAAAGAATATCTCTCCACTTTTTCTAAAATTTACTTTGAAGAATTTTATGTGATTCGGGAAATTATTTTCTCTTCTTAACGCATTCTGAAAATATATTATTAACACATCCCTAAAATTCTGTAAAAGCCAAACATATAAATTTTTTATGAGAGGGTAGTACAAATTATACTATATTGTCTCAGCGTAGTCATCTAATTGGATTTATTAAAGTCAAATTTGATAAACTTTAAGCCTTAATTAAATTAAAGATAACAATATATATTAGTACGAAAAATTTCATTATTAAATTTAAGTTGTTAAAAGCTTTAGAAATTTTATTTCATTATATTAATATGTCATGCTATATTGACATATACTGTGTACCCTATCATATTTTTTGTGCAGGTTGAGCCGGGGGTCTCTTGGAAACAGCCTCCCTGCTTCCGAGTAGGTCAAGATCTGCGTACACACACCATCCTCAGACCCTACTGTAGTGGGATTCAACTGAGTTGTTGTTGTTGTAATATGTCACATAAATTAATCTGTAATTAATGATTACAGTTTGTAAATTTTGATTCGAAAAAATTAAACTAAATGAGTACACTGGAATGTGGAGTAGTAGCTAGATGATAGATTTAATTTGCAGGTAATCGGGAGTATTAAATGTTGACAAGGTTTTATTTGACATACGGAGTACAACATACGTTGTGTCACACGTGATATTAAAACATGTGAAATTTACTTAAATAACACTAAAACATAATGATTTTCTCTAAATAGCACCACATGTGTTTTTCTTCCCAATGTAGTACTTTTAGTCATTATGCATTAGTCATTATTCAAATAAATATTCACTATCACAGGACATTATGGACATTATTAAGTGCTATTTAGGGAATAAAA